GGCAGGACCACAGGAGCCTGGTAGCTTTTGAAGCCCTGGCCATTCCCCACCGTGCTGGGATCCGTGTCCCTGGGTGGGCAAGAGCCGTAGGGACAGCCACAGCCTTGCCTGCAGTTCTCCCAGAGCCAGTCCCTGTGGCACTGGAGTTAACGCGCGCTGCGAGCACCACACTGGCAGGGCTGGTAGCAAATAACAGCTTCCTGGGTACTGACTGTACCAGCTCTGCAGGTACGAAACACGTCCAGTTAACACTCTTGAAAGCCCTGTGTGGTAAGGGCGTCTCTTCTATCCCGGTAGAGGCGGAGGCGGGCCAAGGCCCCCTTGGTCTAGTCCGAGCGGACCCCCAGAGCCCTGCACCTGCAGCTGGAGGACGCTTGCGCTGCTCCGTGCTGGCCGCCTAGCTGTGCAGAAAGCCTTAGGAGTGAAGTCGTTCGCACATGGAGGTAATGATCTGCGTGGACAGCAGTTGCTGCGAGGATCGCACAGCCCGAAGCTAGCCATGTGCGGCTGATGATAGGGCCAGCAGGAAGTGTGGCCGTGCGCGCTGCCTCCCGTCCGCTCCTCCAGGGCACGCACCGTGTGCCGCTGGGCGCAGGCCTCAGTCTGCACCTGACTGGTAAATGTGTACCGTGGCCGTCTCCTGGCAGCAACGCCTGGCTCTGGCCCCTTCCCTTCTTTGCACAGCTGCGCCGGGTGCTGCACGTGTGGTGTTTGGTTTTGTTGCACCAGTCTCAGGCTGACGGTGCCATGCTGGCCTGCCTTGTCCACAGCAGGCTGGAAGGGCCTGGGCTGTCTGAGGGTCGAATCTGGCCCTTTGGATGTCATCGGTCACTGCACTTCTGAACCTGTCCCCAGCTGCCTGGAGAGCCGAAGCCTGTGGTGGCCGCTGTGTCCCTTTCTGGTATTTCCGTACAGGTGGCCCAGGCGTGCTGTGGCAGGGCCGGGCTTTGCTTGTGCAGATTCTAACTGTTGCTCCCCTGGGCCCTGTTCAGTCCTTCAGCGTCTCTGAGATGCTGCGCCCCCGCTGCCCACCGCCCTCTGCCAAGCGCTGCTCGGTGCTGGGGCGGCCGTGCGGAGGACACGGGGTCTCGGCGCATGTCTGCGTGCAGGTCCAGCGGGGCTCTGCGGTGGCCGGTGAGGGGAGCTCCTGCGGCACTGTGCCCGCCCCGCTGGTTGAGGGCTGTGGGGGACGCAGAGGTCGACCTGCCCGCCCGCCCAGGCTGCCCGGCCTGCGTATGGGGTGCCGGCAGGACCCTCATGGAGTTAGGATATGTGTCCTCCCAATAGGGCCGCAGGTGCCTCTCCCCGCGCTAAAGAGGGATGGAAGATAAGACTGTGTAAGGGAGGCGGAAAGACTGGAACTGTGGAGACGCGGCCCAGGGGTTTGAACCTGATGCACTTGTTGGCACGGAGCTCAGGGAGGCAGCAAACGCAAAGCACCGACCACACGGGATGGGGGCAGCAGGGTGCGCGCTGGCTGGATGAGTGCACGCGCGGTGTGACCCCCGCGAGGACGGCAGCCACTTCCCGGGACGGTGTGAGGGGAGGGGCCGTGAGGCTGGCGGAGGCAAGGCTGGGAGCCCACCACCTCCCTCTGGGTGGCGCTTGCTGTTGGTTTATCCTGAATACAATCAAATTTTGGTGACACGCTTATGCATTTTACAGCTACATTAGTGCCCGCTGCGTGGCGGGTACTGTGCTAACTGTAGGGAACCCACAGTGAACAAACCCTCACCTGGCTGAGCACCCAGAAGCCCTGCTGAGCTGGTGACAGCTGTCACTGCGGGGGCCGCAAAGGCCTTCTGAGCAGGTGCCGCTGCCCGGCGAGGGTGAGGACGGGAACGGGCTGCCTGGGAGAGGGGCGGTGGGGCCCACAGGCCACGCTGGTCGCTCACTGGGAATAAAGCACGTCGCACGAGTTACGGGCAGCCGGCGGTGGGACCGGGCAGGCCGGGCAGGGAATGCGGAAGGCGACATGTGGGACCCATCAGGCCTGTCTGCCGCGCGCGCGTCCGGCTGCTGACGGAGCCCCGCGCCGCGTGAGTCAGAGAGCATCTGAGTTGAGCTGCTGAGGTCACATGGGCAAATTAACCTAACCGAAAATAACCCCAAAACCAGCATTTCTGGGAAACGAAAGTGAAGGTAGCTTTCAATGTAAATAAACAAAGGCAGAAAGGAAGATAAAGGGTGGGCTAGAAAAAGTAAGCAGTTGGAAAACAAAAGAAAGTGCTTTGGGAAAGAATACTGAGGGGAAGACATTTCGCCCGCAGTGGCTGGTGTGAAGCATTTCCTCCCTGTTCTCACGGCAGGGGTGACACGTGTGTGTGCGGGGGCGGGGGGGGGGTGCGCACGTGGGCAGCCCTCCGTTCTTCCTGTTGATACACAGGAAGCGCTTCCTGCTGTCCTCCATGGGAATGGGTACTGTGAACCCGTTAACGCCTGGGCGGCTTTGGGCCACCCTGCTGCAGTGAGCCTCACCCACAGATCATGGACAGCCGGGTTTGTGGTGCACGCCTGTACTCCCAGCAGTCTGGAGGCTGAGGCAGGAGGGTCACCATGAGTTCAAGGTCAACCTGGGCTCCGTACTGAGACCCTGTCTCAAAAATCAAACAAAAAACAAATCATGAACATCTCCTCCAGAGGACCTGACCAAGCGTGCCTTTGGGCCTGGGGACTTCCCCTGTGCCCCTGGGCACCAGTGTGCAGTGTGGTTCATGGCCGAGCCCCCTCAGCCCTGGCCCCCTAGCCTGCGTTGACACCTGGATTTCTTGCATGGTGGCTGGGGTGGTGTGGAGTGGCCTGGAACCTCCCGCTCACTGGCACATCTGTGTGGGGCCGGGGCTGTCACCACTGGCTGGCAGAAGCTAGCATCCACTGTTGGTTGCGACAGCCTGCTCTCTCCCAGTCCAGGACAGAGAATTCGGCTCGGAAGATGCAGGCAGGTCTGGGGGTCGAGAGCAGGCGCTGGCTAGGCTGATGTGCGGTCCCCAGAGTCACGTTTTTGTTTTGTTGTTTTTCTTTTTGTACCGGGAATCGAACTCAGGACCTTGAGCTTGGCAAGCAGGCGCTGTGCCGCTGAGCTGTGTCCCCGGCCCCAGAGTCAGGTTTGAAGTCAGGGTGAAACCTGGTTTCTGCTGTCTTGCGTGTGCCTCGCCGCTGCCTTGCTTGCTGGGAAAGCGGCTCGCTGTGGAGCACTGCTGGCCTGAGTGCCCAGCCTTTGGGCTTGCCAGGCTGCGCCGCGCTGTCTGGGGCCGCAGAGAAGATGTGTGACACAGTTAATGTGCTCAGCAAAACTTCCTTTATATACTTAATTACAACGTTAAAGCACCACAACCCAAGCTTGAGTTCCATAATGAAATAAGAAAACTTACATAGCCGCTTAATAACAACACTCGCCTGTCCTCACTGCTGTGCAAGTGCACCCCGCCCGTGTCTGGTCCACGCGGGTTGAGGGGTTGCCTGTGGCAGCCACAGGAGCGGGCAGCCGTGTACCATGCCCACCCCTGCAGTGTTCCTGACCCCGCGTAGTCCCCGCTCCGGTACCAGCGGCCCAGTCACGAAGACAGCACTGACACTCGGGCAGTTGCGGGGACAGCGTGTGATCTTGTGGGCTTCGTTGCCAGCTTCTGGGCTGCCTTGGCCCAGTCTGGACACCGTGCTGTGGCCATTGGATGATGAAAAACACTTTTCTAAATTAAAGGGAAATCACCTACTTTGGTTAAATTACAAATAGAAGCAATTGAAGTGCTTTACCATCTTGAGAACGTCTTGGTGTCTTACCCAGAGACTGACCTCGGGAGGAGTGTGGAGTGGGCAGGTTTCATCCTCCTGAGGCACCCGCCCTGTAATGGGCCACGTGGGCTGTGGCTGCCCAAGGCCGATGCCTGCTTGCCCCTGGCCCAGCGAGGCCTCCTTTTTGGAGGCTCTGGCAGGTGTGGTGTCAGATACAGGCTGACGGGAGTCCTGGGGCATGCGGCTCGCACCCTCTCCTCCTGCCCATGCTCCTCTGCTCCTGTGGGTTCTGACCGTGAGCCTGCCCTCTGCTGGGCCAGCTACCATCTGCTACCCAGAACACAGAAGCCAGGACAGCCACGGCCCAAGGGGGACATAGCGTGGGAGCTGCTGGCCGAGCAGCTCCGCAAGGAGTAGCCGCTCTGCGCTTCCCTGGGACATCGCTCTGTGCTGTGAAAGCCCTTGACGTGTGTTAGGGAAAGCAGTGCCAGTTTTTATTCGAAGCCCAGAACTTCCAAGGCAGGAGTGGATGCCACCGTGACGCCGCCCCACAGGGCCACGGTCCTGCTCTGCCCGCTGGCACCCAGACACGGCCTCCCAGCCCGAGGAGATGGGCGGCACGTCCCTGCCCGTGACACGATGTGCTGCCGGTGTGCGGTGTGCTGAGAGCGTTGTTCTTGGGAACTTGTCCTTGTCCACCGTGGGTGCCATCGGGGCGCTCCACACGCAGGCAGGCCCCTCTGTGTGACGGTCTGGAAGTAGGGTAGAGTCGCGCCAGAACGCGGCTGCTCAGACTGTGTGTTTATGCTTTACATAAGGGTAGCATCAAGTCCTGCTTTGTGATTAGTTTTATGGAAATTAATTGATTTGAAGAAATATAAAAATAAGATCTGTCTCAGTAAAGGTGCATGTTTCATGTGTCACTGAAAGTCTCTGTCCAGTGTGATGAGCTGCTAACACAAGCAGGTTTCCTGTGTGGTTGCAGTTACCTGGGCTGTTCTTGCTCTCGGGGAGGGAGGGCAGAGCTCCGCCTTTCCCAGGAAGTGCTTTTGCCAGCAGTGGCAGTTCCAGCGTCGTGAGAATCCCAGGGTGGTGAAAGCAGGAGTACCTGTCCGCTAGGTGAAGCCCGCTAACCTATAGGACCGATATTCACCCGTCCAAAACACGCGAAACGAAGCCGCCAGGTGTAGGCGCATGCTTTCCCGCGAGGAGCTCACACCACCCTGCCGCAGGACAGAGAGTCAGTCGGGTGTGTTTTCTCTCCCCAGATGGCCCCCCGGGTGGAGCCCCCTGTGAGCAGCATGGGGAACAACAGCCTCGAGAAGGCGCTGCACACGTCCGCACAGCCCACGGAGGAGCCCAAGAGGCCGCTGGGGAAGCACAGCAAAGGTGGGTCGCGGCGGCCCAAGCTCGGGAGGTGGCAGGTCGGGTGCGTCGGTGCCTTGGGAGGCCCCTGCCTTTCTGACTGTGAGCGTTACCAGGCATATTATGGCAGGGAGAACCACAAGTGTTGGTGCTGTCAAGGGAGACAGAGCTGTTAAATGCCCTGTCCTCACACCAAGACAAAACAAGCGTGTCCTGGGGCCAGATGTCCCCTGGGGCAGCGTCAGCCCTGAGCCCTACCTGACGGCGCAGGGTTCTGTCCCACTGCCTGGCGCCATCAGCACGAGCGCCACCGGCCCTGGCACGAGGCCTGCGTTCTGCTGGCTGTGTACCTGTGCGCTGTGAGATCTGGGTGGCAGCTGGGGCAGAGTAGCTGGCTCTGGTGGTGGCGGGCGGCGTGTCTCCCGCCACCCTCGCTCCTCGAGGCTCTGCAGGCCTGCCTTCCGCAGCCGCCTAGACCGTCGGGCTGAATTCTTTTAAAATTGGGAGAGCAAAGGCTCTGGGGATCTTGCCAGTGGTCAGCGGGAGACACAGGAGGCGCTCCTGCGCACTTGCTGGTCTGGCTCACCTTTGGCTTTGGCTCCCGTGTTCCAGATGCGGTGGCCTCCTTCTCTGTGGAGGTTAGATCTGTGCTGCTTGTCTGTCCTTGGTCCTCCTCTGCTATCCTGTGACCCCAGCGCCACATCTCCCGGGGCACGATAAGCACTGTGTCTCTCAAAGTCTTGCCCGGCATGGCTGCTGTGCCGTGTTTGTGTCACGTGAGCGCATGGTGGTGTGGGAGCCCTGGGTCCCTGCAGCCCTGTGAGGTGCTGGCCATGACTGTCCTCAGAGTCCTGCGAGGTCACCCCACGCCACGCTGCGCCTTCCTCCTGGGGCCCGTGACCTTGCTCGCACGTCTCTTCTGCCTGGTCGTCCTGCGGACTCGGCCACGTCCCGCCCAGAACAGAGAGGTGGCCCTGGTGGGGGAGGAGCTGTGTCACCAGGGAACGCCCTGCTCCCTTCCACACGGGGTCCCCAAGAGCACCACCCAGACCTGTGCCCTGCATCCCAGAGACGTGAGGGCCGATCCTCCCTCCTGGTTTCTGGGGGCGGGGGTGATTCTTGGTATAATTTCAAAATGCTTGGGTGCCGCCCACCGTTCCCTGGTCTGTGTACTTTGGTGCCCAGAGAGGCAGGTGCACTGGTTCTCATGCTTGCTGAGGCAGGGTCATCTGCTGTGAGTGTCCGGTGTTACCTGCTGCGACGGTGTCCTAGGTGATCTGCTGTGAGTGTCCCGTGTCATCCACGGTGGCAGTGTCCCATGTCATCCTCTGTGACAGTGTCCCGTGTCATCTGCTGTGAGTATCCTGTGCAGGTGTAGTGATGGGAGTGCAGCCGTGCAGAACGTCCATGTGCCCAGTGTCCAGCTGCCACACCAGGGCCCGTGTCTGACTGCAGGTCCTTGTGTGCCTTGGAGATACGGCTGGGGACAGTTGTGCAGATAGGGAGCTCCTCGTCGGGGAAGCTAGGGAGCGGTGTCCCAGGGTGGGCTGCAGTGTCGGGAGGGGAGGCAGGTTCTAGCACCTGGAGCTTTGGACCTCACGTCCTGGTGGTGGGCAGGGTGGTGCTGAAAGCTGGTGTCTCAGGGCCCCAGTGGCCTCTTGATGATCCGGACCCCGCAGTCTCGCATGTGTCTGTGGGTGTGGACCGTTCTGTGAATTAAACGGAGCTTTGGCGCTGGGAAGGTCACTGCCCAGCCGCTGAGGGCTGTGTGTGTTGTGGCGGTGTGATGCTGCAGGGCATCTGAAGGCCGCGCCCCACAGGTCCACGTGGAGAGCTGGGGCTCCTGCAGGAGGGGGCGCACGGTGGGCTTCTGCTGGTGTGGTGGTGTCCAGAGCCTCCGTGGCTGCAGCTCCTGGTTCCCTCTTTATTCAGCGCTTCCTAGGAAGGACTTCGGGACACAGAATAGAGTTCAAAGAATTTGGCAGTGAGTACCCACCCCCCATCACGCAGGTGTGTTTTGCCCTGTTCACTGTTGTTTTATGTTTTTTATGGTACTGGGGATAGGGCCTGCAGCCTCGCGTGTGCCAGGAGTGTGCTTGTGGCTGGAGTCAGGAGCAAAACTGTTCGTCCCTGGGCCTGGGGGCAGCAGAGCTGCCCTGAGGCCCCAGGTGGGAGCTGGTGTCACCACGTATCTTGAACTCTCAGGCTCCGTTTGGAGCTGATGTTGACCTGTTCCCCTCAGCACAGAAGCACCCTGCAGCAGGCTGGATGCTGTGAGCGAGGCCAGTGCACACCTCCCCGCCAGGTCGAGGGCTAGGCAGCTGCGGGGCGGGCGCACTGTTGGGAGCTGCCCCTCCCTCTTGAGCTGGGGGTGTCACCGCCACACCCCCACGCCCCCAGGTGCATGTCTGTGGTTTTAGTTTTTGGCGTGTTAGAGCGGCTTCAGGGGCCCCAGGCAGTGGGCCGTGATCCCTGGTGTGGACGCGTGGTGCCTTCCTCCCGGCTGCCCTCTACTGCTGGCCTCCAGGGCGTCCTTGCGCCTGTGCTGCGCAGCCCCGCTGGCCGGGTCTCTCCCAGCCTCCGTGTGTCTGAACCATTTCTCCTGAGCCCCGAGGTGAGCGGGCAGACCTGGGAGATGGGTGCGGTTTCTGGGGGAGGAAGCTGTGTTGGAGGCCTGGGGTGGGCGGGTGAGAGAGTGGACTCTGGCAGCCTCCACCGCTGACTGCCGGTGGGAAGCGAATGGGAACCAGCCCACTCCTGGGCCCTCAACCTGGCTGTGTGTTGGAGCCTGCGTTCTTAGTCTTAGTCCCCGCACACGCCGGCCCATCGAAGTTGCTGTCCCTCTCCAGGGAAGGCAGAGACAGACCGCGACATGGCACTTGCTTGGGGTTTCACAGAGAACATGCAGTCTGGGCCACCGCGTGCCGTAGCCGCCTTCCGGGGTCCGAGCGCTGTTTGCACGGAGTGTGCGACGCTGTCGAGTGTGGGCTGCCCTGCGGCGGGCCACGCTGCTTCTCAGGGCCGCGATGTTCAGACTGGGGCCTGGAGTTAAACATCTTAAGTTTCTGCGCATGCATGGAAAGGAAAACCACGAAATCAATGAGAAATGTGTCCTCGCAGTCTGTCCACAGAGCGCCCGTGTCACCACGGCCCTCAGTGCAGCCCGGGCCGCGGTGGCATCGATCCAGGCTTTGGCGTGGCCTGGGGTCCCCTGTGAAGCTGGCACAGGCTCGTGGTGCCAAGGGAAGTCACTGACGCAGGTTCCAGGGGCACCTAGCCTGTGGCGTAAAGTATAAATAAAGGGACATCCCAGCAGCAGAGCCGGTCCTGTGCCCCTGTGGAGTTGGCACGTGGTCCTCACTGTGGACGTGGACTTGCTGTCTGGGGCCGTGTGCTGTGCCCCCTAGGTGCGGCAGGGCGGTGAGGCCTGTCCTCCTTTCCCATCTCGGGGGGCGCGCCCCCACCCAGCTCGCTGTGGACCTGCCCACACGTGACGCGTCTCTTCACTGGTCCCCCACATGCTTCCTGGTGCTGGGTGCCGGCCCCGCGGGCCCTGTGGCTGTCCCACCAGGCGATGGAGGATGTGGCCCTGGGGTGCACACGCATGCTTCCCGGTCCCTTGAGACAGTCGGAGTCCCTGGGTGGTGATGGCGAGCGGACGCAGGCCTGCGGACTAGTGGGGAGGGCGGGCGTGGCCGCGTGTCCAGGAGGACCTTGGAAGCAGCGGGTTGTGACAGCTGTGTGCACCTTGATGCATCTCTGGAAAACCGTGACACAGTGCGGAAATTTGGGGGGAGCTGCCTGTGAGTTCAACATCGTGGATTTTCTCTATTGTCTTTGATCATTTCATTAGTGTTTTTCATTTGCCTTTTTTTTATTCGTCTTTTAAACAAAACTGTATACTTGTCATCCTGTAGTTTGTAAGTTTTCAGTTAATATAACAAGCTTCCTTTGTATTTTTGCTTTTACACCCTGCTCTTTTTTGAGTATTGTGTGCTGGGCAAGTGCTCCCTCCTCCAGCCGCATCCCCAGCGCCGTACACAGGGTCTTTCCTGGCTCCAGAGTGGAGCGCATGCGTGAACATCTCTTGCTCCTGAGCACAAGCCCAGGGGCTGCTGCTGCCAGCTTCGCTCCGCCCTCTGGGCCGGGGACCGGGCAGCGGAGCTGGCGGGAGCACAGCGGCCCTCGAGGCTGTCTTCGCCTGGCGTCTGTGGTGCCTTCATTTGGAGACAGCCCAACGGCCCTGTCAGCTTCTCGGTCCTCCCGCCCGGCTCCGAGTCACTCCCCTGGTCCAGGTGGGTTTCCTTCCCCTCCACGTGCGCTGGCGCCTTGCAGCCCTGGGCACATGGAGCAGGGCAGGCGCCGGCACCTCCGAGGACCCTTGGATGCTGTGCTTCCGTGGCTTTGGGAGGGGAGAGCTGTGGGTTAGAGCGAGCTACCAGGCCTGGTTTTAAAAACACTGTGTTGGAAAAACAGAAAAGCTGTGTATTTGCTGACAGTGGGATGGAGGAGGTGACAGGAGCCGTGAGCGGCTCCACAGAGCAGCGGGCGGTAGCAGCTCCCAGTGCACTGGGTTCTTTGTCTTGCCAGAAGGGAAATAAACGGGCTCCTCTTGCAGCGGGATTCTGCCCAGCGAGGGGCTCTTTGAGGCTTCCGACTGCAAGTCGGGGGGATTCATGTCCCCCGGGGTGCACACAGCTGCAGACTGCTCTCAGTCTGGGGCCCATCGGCAGGTGGGGTGGCGAAGGACAGGTCACCTGCCTGGCCTGCAGTGAGTCCCCGGCAGCCCTCTTGGTGTCTGCTTGAGCTCTGCCTTCTGTGGCGGGGCAACGGGGAGGGGCGGCCAGTGCTGACACACGGATCCAGGCGTGGCCTGACCCGGGAAAGTTTCCACAGAATGCTCCCGGGGGCTGACAGGACTGCACCTGCGCTGGAGGGTGCTGCAGCCACCAGCACGTGTGGCTCTTGAGGACTGAGACTGCGCCTAGCACTACCACGGAATTGGGTGTTTACACGTGGCTTGACTGCACTGCGGGGCGGGGCGGGCACGGGAACCTCCCCCAGCACCCACAGAGCGGTGTTGTTCCCAGGCATGGTCAGAATTGTTTGCAAACTAAAGCCAGTCTTGCAGGACTCGTCAGGGCCTTACTAGCTTCTTTGATCCCTAAATCTTTTGTCCCCACAGCTTCTGGGGGGCCCCAGTCTCACAGACATGGCCTCTAGCCACGGAGGAAGGTGTGCTAGGCTTCCCCAGTGGCCGGTCGAGGTGGACATGGGACTGTGCACACCTGTGGAGGTGCCAGCGTGCCCCGTGGCCATGTGGGCTCTGGGTGTGTCGGTCCTTGTGTGGAGGTGGAAGAGGGCAGGCGTGCCCGGCGCGGGGGGTGTGGGAGCTGCGTGTGGATCTGAGCCTGTCCTCGGCCTCGCAGAGCAGTGGACCTAGTGTCCACTTCAGCTCTGAGAAGAGGTTTCGGGCAGAGAGGGAGGAAGTGCTGTGGCGAGGGGCTCCCTGGAGACAGGGCGTCCCTGCGACAGTGCCCCTGGCCTGGCCACCTGGCAGGGGTGAGTGCGCAGCCAGCACATGGAGGAGGGCCCGTGCCTGGGGGACAGCTGTGGCCGTGCCGGCCAGGGCGCGGGGCCCTCCTGACTGCCAGTCACCGCAAGCGCACACGGAGGCCTGGCTCCCGCTGGGGTCTCAGGTCGAGCCCCTCCTCTCCTGTCGCCCCAGCCCCGTTCTGCGCTGAGCTGCCCCACAGCCGTGGCCCCTGTTGTCTCCGTGGTTCTGGTCGCAGCCCGGCCCCTCAGGGTCCCTGGCCGGCCCGGGTGTTGGAGGCCGACTTCTGCGTGTGGCCCGAGCCTGCCTTCCTCGTGTGACGCCGTCTCTGTTCGCTTTGCAGTGAGTGTGGAGAAGATAGACCCGAAGGCACTGTCACACGCCAAGAGCGACAGGAGCGCCGAGTGCTCCTTTGAGGTAAGAAGCTGCCTCGTCCCGCCGGCTGCCTGTCCCCACACGGGGTGCACGCGGGCCTCTCCCGGGGGGTGTCGGCCGAGGTGACGGGGTGCGGGCCAGCCCAGGTGCGTCTCTGCCCGTGTCCCAGGACAGTGCTAAAGGGGTGCCAGGGTGGACGTTCCGAGCACACCTCGGTGTGGGGAGGGTTGAGAAACCCGTGCCCTGTGGGCGGCAGAGCCGGGGACCGTAGATGCCCTCGAGGATGCAGGGGGCACAGAGAGTCTCTGAGAGAACCTGTCCCCTGTGGACAGGGAGGGGGCCGCCATGCTGGTCCGGTGAGACTCAGTCCTGAGCAGTGAGACGTGCTGGATTCGAGGACGGGAGCCCTGCGCAGTCCACATCCCTCCCTCCTTGCGGGGGTGCAGGCTGGCCTGTGTGGCAGCTGTGCGTCAGCTCTGCCCGTCCTGGCTCCCTCCAGTTGTGTGGACCTTGACCTCCATTAGCCTCGTGGCCCCAGAGGGCGGCCAGTGCCCCGGCCTTAGTATCTTCATCCTGGGCAGCAAGATGCCTGAGTCAAAGGAACATTCCCGCAAGGAGCCACTTCTGTGCTGTTGGCCAGATATAATCTCTTGGTCCCATTTGGCTGCAGTTGAGGCAGGGAGCTGCGTTCTGGCTGGGCACATCCCCCTGTGATCCGGCTCTGCCACCTGCCCCCAGGCCGTATTAGGTCTACACCGCCATGTGTGTTCTGGCCACTGGCTGCTTGTGAGTTCCACTGGACAGTGTATGGTGCCTGCGCTGTGGGCAGGGCCAGGCTCCTGTGGGCTGTGGTTAGGTCAGAGTGCTGCTTCCACTCCAGGGCCCCGGGCCTGCGTGGCGCTGGTCACGAGAAGCTGCTGAGCCCGCGTGCAGGGCTCACAGGGTGGGGAGCCCCGGCAGTGGAGGCCGCAGGAGCCTCGGCCCCGTAGAGTCCCGAAATGCTGACATCCCGGGGCCCTGGGGGTCAGCAGGCTGTGTGGGGCTCTGGGAGGTGCACAGAGGCCTCTGACCTCACTGTCCTGTCCCTTTGACAGGGACGTCGCGTCAGCCTCCAGCAGGGCCACACTTGCGGAGTGTGCTGTGCCTGAAGCCACCTCAGAGTTGGCCCTGCCTCCGTGGGTCGGGGCGGTCTCGTGCCCGGCGCCAGCCCCGGGATGGCTGTTCTGGCGAGGCCCAGGCCGTGTTAGCCGTGCGCAGCGAGTGATGGCACTGCCGGGGCGGCCACAGCCGTCGGGGAGGACGTGGGCGTCCCCCGTGCCTCGTGGCTCCCGGAGCACAGAGCTGACCGGGAAAGGGAAGAGCAGTTGGTGGCCGTCACCCAGGGGACTTGGACACACACCAGGCTCCAGAGGAGCTGCCGTGAGGCCTTGAGAGCCTGGAGCTGCTGCCAGCTCTCCCGCTCCTGAGGAGGTGGCCAGCTCCCATCTGGCTGCGCTGCTGCTGGTGCCGGGGCCCGGGAGGCCATGTCTGCCCGTGCTAGAAGCGCCCGACCTCTGGTGCCAGGGCAGCCAGTGCAGCGCTCTGTGTGCTGCTGGCGCTGCGCCTTCTGTGCTCTGTGAGCGGCCATTAGTAGGGCGCGATGATGTCGCTGTTGTCACATCATGTGCCATAGTGCCGCTGTGCCTCTGCGCCCAGCCTGGGCCTGCGGCTGCGTCGTTGGAGACCACAGGCTGAGAGGAAAGGTCTGGGGGAGAAAGTGCAGTGCGCCTCCCGCCGCCTCACCCTCTGCCTTCCTCCCTCTGGCTCACCGTCCTACAAAGGCAGTCTCTGCAGATGCAGAGGCCTCCGCACTGCGCGGGAGTGGGCAGCCCTCAGGAGAGGCCTCCCCCCACACCGGCCAGCAGCCCGCAGCAGCCCTGCACCGGAGGCCCTGGTGCCCTTGTCCAGGGGAATTGTCCTGGGCCATGTCTAAAATACATAGTGCAGTTAATGTGCAGAAGCACCAGATCTTCTTTAGTTTTTAAATATTTCAACATATCCCTAAAATGAAGGCCATGGAGGCAGAGCTGGTGGAACGTGCGCCCTGGTGTTAGGAAGCTGGTGTACCGGGGTCTGCTTCTGGCTATGCCTGTGATTCCCAGTGAGATATCGTTGAGGGCAGTCTTCATCCAGGTTCCACTGACCGCTGCCCCATGCCCCGCAGGTTCTGCTGTCGCCTGCAGTGCGTGGGGATGCAGGTGTGGGCGTGGGGAAGAGGCTCAGCATCGTCTCTGGGGAAGGTGCTGCTTAGCAAGCGCCACAGCGAGGGAGCCCTCAGCCTGCCGGATGTGCCAGCCCCCTGGGCGGCAGTCTGCCTCCTGCTGGTAGGAGAGTGACATGGTGCACGTGTGTGATGAGTTGGAGGCTACCCTGCGGTGACCAGCCGACCCCTGCCTGGGCACCAGCTGTGCATAACGTTTGTTTGCTACGGCGTTCCTGGTGGCACCCAGGGCATCTGTGTGTGTGTGGACACGCAGGCCGGCAGTTGGTCCATGTGCAGCAGCCCCGGCCATAGGAAGGAGCGGGCAGCAGCCTGTGCTGGACCCGCTTCCCAGAGGTGCTCGCTGTGGGGTGTGCTGTCATCTGTGGGCTGATCCCTGGGGAGTACAGGAGTCTGCAGCAACGGGTACCAGCCCCAGTCTCCCGGAAGAGGGCCAAGGAGGGCGACAGAGGCTGCAGAGGCTGTGCTTGAGTGACACACTCGGGTGGTTTTGAAGACAGGTGGTTTTGTGGGTGTAGAAGCATCGGGGCTATACACTGTGTGTGCACGGTTTGTGGTCAGCTGTGACTTGAATGCTTAAAAGATTGAGGAAGCCACGTGTAGTGGTGCATACTTGTAATCACAGCTACAGAGGAGGCTGAGGCAGGAGGATGGCAAGTTTGAAGTCACTTAGTGAGACCTGTTTTATAGTCTGAAAAAGGGCTGGGGATGGAGCTGTGGTGGAGCATGCAGCTAGCAGGCCTGAGGCCTTGCCTTTAACCTCCACTACCAGGACAAGAAAAAAAAAACAAAACCTTCCTTTAGTCCACTGAACTTTAACAAAAATGAAGTATGTTGTGCTTGCAGTCAGCTGTCAGTGTGCAGGGCCCGGACGGTGGGAGAGCCGCTGGAAGAGCTGGGGTGCGTTCTCGGGGGCGGGGGGGCGGTGGTGGCTGGGAGAGCGTGAACCGCGCCCCACCCCGTGCTCCGCTGCGTCTGTCCTCGCAGGCTGCGGTGTTTCACGCCTCAGAAACGGGGCGTGGCCAGACTGGGACGGTTCCCAGATGCGCCACCAATAGGAGTTGCGTTTCCTGTTCTCCACGGAGCCGGCTTGTTTTTGCTGAAATTGTAATTGCCAGTTACCAGTTACTGAGGAAGCCAAGTAAGTGTGTAGGAAGCAAATGGTAGAATATTTTTGAATGTAAAATTAGTATGCAGCTGTGTACATGTGAAATGTCTCCATTTTACCAGCTTTTCCACATTCACTCTAAGGAAGGACTGACATGACGAACCTTTTCAAAAGAAATTTTGTTTATTATACATGGCGAACAGGGAAGGAATCATACAAAAGATTCCCCAACTTCGAAAACACCTCTGATGACGGTAGAGTTGTAGGAACTCGAGGTCTATTAGAAATTCTAGGAAAAATCAACATTTTTGTGTGGTAGTGGGGCTTGAACCGGGACCTTCACACTGAGCTACATCCCCAGCTCCTTTATTTACTTACGTACTTGTTTGTTTTTGAGACAGAGTGTCATCATTTTCTGAGCCGGCCCGGGGTGAACCTGCCATGCTCCCTGGTCAGCCCGCGTCACGGGTGTGTGTGCTCCCGTGTCTGCCTCCATCAGCGGAAGCCACTCCCTTAAAAAGTCCCGGGTGTGAAGCCGTTGAGCTGTTGCATTTTGGTTTTAGAAGTTTATCATCTCCGTCTGAACGCAGTATTAGCTGCTGTGGAGATTTTGTCCTGTTAGCGGGGACAGGTCTCAAGGTCTGGAGAGCTGAGTTTTGTCACGGTCAGCTTGAATGTGTGCGGTCAGAGAGCCCCGCGACTCTGCACTGCAGCCGCAGCGGCCCCAGGGCTGGGCGGCCCTGGGGACTCCGGTGTCCGCAGCCCCTCCCTCCCTCCCTCGCTGTGTGCGGCCCTCAGGGCAGGCACGTGAGGGAGGCAGCGTGAGACACCTGGCTGTGTGCTGCGGCGGCCGTGTCTCTGGGGTGGAGTGCGGCTGTGTGCGCAGGTCGGACTGGAAAGGCGCGGTGGTGCGCGGACGTAGTCCGTGCTGTAGCTTACTCCGAGGCGCACACGTGGCTGTGCTGAGCGAGGTGTCTTCGTGGCTCAGGCTCCCGCCCTTCATCAGAGCGGGCGCTGCAGCCTCCGGGAGGGTAGAGCTCACGAGCTGCCAGCTCCTCTCCCCAGAGGGTGACAGACATGCTGTGAGGCGCTCGCCTGCCGCGTGCAGAGGTGTGCAGCGCACGGGCGTGAGGGGCTCAGACCCAGAGGTGCCCTCCCGTGTTCCCTGGACTTCGAGAACTGGCTGGAGCGGACCTGGCGATTGTCCTGTGGGGACAGCAGATCACAGTGTGCTGAGGGAGCGGTGGTGGGGGTGGCTCTGGGTCTCAGGCTTATGTGCCCTAAGCCCGGATCAATTTGGTGTCTCTGCCTTGGGTGATGAGACACTCGTGGCTGCTTTATTTCCTCCCTGAAACGCTCCAGTGGCTTCTAGATTTCAGGTCAAGTTGGCGTTTCAGGTTCCCCCGTTGGCCCTGCCTGTCCCTCGAGCCACCAGCCCCCACTGCTGTGGTCTTGGGACGTCGGGTCTGTGCGCAGGAGCTGCCCCCATGTGTGCGGGGCACCTCCACGGGGCGCACCATGACCGCACGGAGGAGACGGCAGAGGCGCAGCCGTGCCTGGGCGCTGTAGGACGTCCTGCAGCCATGCTGGCCTTCAGCCGTGAGAGACCCTCTGCCGGCAAGTCTGTTCAGGACTCTTGCTGGCCCGTCCTCCCTCTTCCGCGGAGGCCTGGCCCAGACTTTGGAGGCTGTCCCTGTGGTCCCGTCAGGGCCCAGGGCGGAGGCCCAGTCTCATCTTGTCCTTGTGTCGACCGTGTCCACTGGGGCAGGGGTGGCTGCCCCTGGGTGGAAGGCTCACGTCTGGGTGCTCCCGGCTCTGCACACAGTGTTGTGTATTCCTGGCTAGGAGCAGGTCTCGGAGGAGGAGGCCTGCTGCGCATGTGTGGTGTTGTGCTTTTTCTAGAACTTGCAGGAGCACGCTTTGGACCCCGTGCTCTAGTGACGCGAATAATGGCACAAGCCTGGAAGTTGGGCTTTGACGGGCTTGAGTTCTGCGGCTTCCCTCTGGAGCAGGTTCCAGGCCTGGAGTCCCTTGCTCACCACAGGCTCACAGACCCTGCCCTGTGCTGTAGTCGGGGTGTGGGGTCCGTTTTCAGGCTTGTTTGTTTGTTTTCAAGGTCTTGTGGTCTGACTCGTCAATAACGTCCGTAATCAAGTCGTCCCCAGAAGTGACTGAGTTCATCTCCAAGGTAAGGTGCTCAAGGGCTCCATGTGGATGAGCGCACCTCTCCCCCAGGGCAGCTCCCGCCGAAGCGGCCCCATGGATGCCCGCCATGCCCTCTGGCGAACAGCGCCCTCTGCCTGCCCACTGTGGGGACGGGAGCTGCTGGAGTGCCGTCCCAGCTCCCGGTGCTCCGTGTCTGCTGCGGTGCGGCTGAGGCTCCCGTGGCGTGGAGTTTGCCCTGCGAGGCTGCGCCTGGCCTGCCTGCGCCTGTTATACACATCGGATTCTTCTTGTTTTAAATTGGCTCAACAAAGGGCATTTGAACAAAAGGTTCCACTACAAATTCTGTTTTGCATACGTGTACACACACGTGTTCATACATGTGTAAAGTACCTCAACCCAAGTGTGTCTAAAATGCGCAGCTTCCAGAGAGGCATGAGGCAGAGGGACCCCCGAGGAGCATATTCAGTTGAAGGCCTGCGGGGAGGGTGGACATCCCCGTCCACGTGGCCTGGTGAGCCCAAGGCCATGCCCTGGGAGGTACAGATTTCCAGGGCACCTTCCTCCCTGTGCTCAGCACTGCGCTTCCTGGCCGAAGCCGGCTGCTCCTTGTGGTGTCACGGAGACACGCTGTGGGCTCCTGCCATGGGCCTGAGGCGTGTTGCTGGCCTTTGGTCGGGGTGTTTACGCTGGCTAATGTTTACCTGCGCTGGTCTGTGCCCTCCTTGAGTCTCTGGCCCGTCTTCCCCGGTTCTGGAGAGTTCCGTGTGCGTCTCTGCCGTCTCCCTTCCGCCCGCCCCCAGCAAGGCTGACCCAGGTCTCAGCCTCCCGGCCTCGTGTGCTCTTGCCACCAGTGTTGCCACCTGGGCGGTCGCGCTTGGCCTCTGGGAAGGCTTCTGGTGCCCCTTCGCCCTGCCCAGGGGGTTGTGGGGCCTGTGGAAGATGCTGCTGCCTGGCCCTGGCCCTGTGGTGAGGTTTCATTCCCTAGCTTTTCCGTTCCGTATGTCTTACAGTGAAATCTGTATCACTGCTGAAAACCGCCCCTCATTCGTGCAGCTGTCCGCGTTTTTTGCTGGGTCCTTTCGGATTAGTCCTTATGTGGAGTTCCAGCCACTGGGTTGAGTCTCCTTTTACCGATGGCTTTATCTCTTGACAATAGTTTCATCCTCTTTTACTTTTTGTGTGTTTTACAAACTTTGACTGTTAGACATCGTGTTTCTAGGACTTTGGAGACCGAGGAAGCAGCGTTTATGCTCACAGTGAGCACGCTTTCTTCAGCAGGGGGTCAGTGGGGTTCTCCCGTTGTTCCAGCAGGAGTGGCCAGCAGGGGGCGCTGTTGCCGTCATGGCCCGAGGCTGGAGGGTGGCTGCTGCCTGCTCCCAGTGGTTCCTGGGTGTCAGCGGCCTCTCCAGCATGGCCCTCACACGTGACTCTCGTCTGCCCCCGTTCTCCTGGGGTGCAGAGAGGCCCTTCCCTGCTTGACCTCCCCGGGGTTGGCTGCTGGTGCTGAGCCTTGGGCCGAGAGGAGCCTGCACCCTGCCAGCCCCGCCTCGGCCCAAGGCGCACGGCCTTTGCACCAGTGTGGCGGGCAGGGCCACGTCACCGCTGTGGCCCTTCCCACAGCACCTGCCCCCGGCTCCATGAGGTCCTGGTGCAGGCATCTGTGCCCCTCCTCGGGGGTCTGGATTTGCAGCTTTTCTCCGCATCCATGTGCCGGCACAGGTGCGGAAGCGCTGCCCCTCCTGCAGGGAGTGGGGTCTTCTCGCCTCCCGGCCAGGAGCAGTTCTTGTACCCCATCCTGTGCCCCAGGGCTTCGGCCTTGCAAGGAGGGACCAGGGCCTGAGCACAAGCGCTGTGGTTTGTGCCTGGCCCCGGTGGTGCCTGTCCACCGCAGGGGTGCGCTCGGCCTTCCGGGAAGAGCGGAGCGGAGAGGGTGTACCTCCCGTGTGTGGTCGCTGTGACCGACTGGCCTGGGGCCTTGGGGGAAGTTCGGGCTGTGGCGACGGCTGGGCGGCCTTGCCGCAGTGGGATGTTCTGTTAGGAACCCTTCTCAGTCCCGGTGGATGTTGAGGCCAAGCGTAGCAAGGGTGGACAAACGATGGCCCCGCCTGGCCCACTGGGCTTCCCTGTGCTGAGCGCTCTGCCAGTACCCTGGGCCCGAGCCAGCCTCCTGACTTGTCTGCTCTTCCAGTTATCCCAGCTCTGCCCCGAGGAGAACCTGGACAAGCTCATTCCGTGCCTGGCGGGCCCGGACCCCTTCTATGTGGAGCGGAGCCACATGGACCTGGAGGCCGGCCTGAGGTGGGCGAGGCTGCTGGCGGGCGGTTAGCTGTGGGGGTCTCCTCGCTCGGAGCCCCGGAGCCTGGGGAAGCGCAGGCTCGGTGCCCCAGGGGCCTCCGCGGTGGGAGCAGGGAGGCCTGGGATGCTGAGGCTGGGGCAAGGCTGACGCAGGGTGGAGACGGGCCTGACCACAGTGCTCAGGCCACGCACTCGCAGTGCCCCGCCTGCCGCACCACGCCTGGGACGTGGTGGCCCCGAGTCGCCTACACCAGCCACACATTTGGTGGCAGCAGTGGCTCGCAGCACAGGTTCTTGTAGGACCCAGTGTGGCGTGAAGGGTAAGAGGAGGGCGCGGAGGAGGCGGTGGGCACTACGTGAAAGCAGGAGCAGGTGTCGTGCTGGCACCCGTCACCCCGCGCCCGGAGGCTGAGGTGGACAGAGGGCCACCAGTTCGAGCCCACCCCGGGCAGCCCAGCAGCTCAGCTGGACGTCTGTCTCAAATAAAGGAATAGTAATAATAAAATCAGAATGGTCTGGGGATATAGCTCGGTATAAAGGGGCCTGGGGTTTTTTCAGTACTACAAAAAACATTTAAAGCAGGCACTTGAAATTATGGCACTTGTATTTTTCCCCCAATATCTTTTTCTCTTAATTAGAAATTAAAATTGCTCCCCTAATTGGTTTTTATTAATGCTTTATTATTGCTGATAAAACTTCAATTTTCAGGTATTTGGCTTCGCTCCCTTCTCATGTACTGAAAAATGACCACGTGAAGAAGTTTTTCAGCGCTTCGTCTCCCGCCCAGCAGCTTCAAGGTCCGAGTGAGTTTGTCACCTGATTCACGAGTGGCCCACACATTTGCTCACCCAGGAATGTCCATGTGGTTTATTTTCTGACTTCCAGGTCCTGGCAACCCTCCCCTTCCTAAAGTGGGCACCGTGATGGGCGCTTCTGGAAGGTGAGCCTGCAGCTACCTGTTTGTAGAGTGAACCAGCCTGGGGGACGCTGAGGGGAGCTGGGCGGTGAGAGCCCAGCTCCGCCGTCCTGAGAGTGCAGAGCTGTCGGTTTTACTTTTGATCCATTCGAATCTCCTTGTTACTTAGTGGTAACCCAAACAGCTCAGCCTAGAGGCTGGTGGTGACGGACACGTGCCCCTGCGTGGGCACGCGGATGCACGTGCACCTGCACCGTGCATGTCTGCAGACACCCGGCTATATGGCGGGGCTTGGAGCGGCAGGGGTGGGAGGGGCGGCCAGTGTGCCTGCCTTTATGGTGCGCCGGATGCCCTGTGGGAAGTCGGAGCTGCCTGGGAGCCCCTTGGTGCAGTCGCCCCCTGAAAACTGTCTGTGCCCGCCTGTCCCTGTCCCGCAGGCCTGTGTGTGGTGTGGCCGGTATCCCCTCCTCTCAGAGCAGTTCTCAGCACCACCTGCCCCACGCGGCTGGCCCAGGCTCAGGGCTGGCCTACCGCGCCCAGGTGGACACCGCGCCAGCCATCCTCATGCCCTCCGGCCTGCAGGCCCCTCAGCCACAGGAGCAGAACGGCATCCTGGACTGGCTGAGGAAACTGCGGCTGCACAAGTACTACCCAGTCTTTAAACAGCTCACCATGGAGAAGGTATGTGGTGTGTGCTGTGGAAGGAGGGAGGTGGCCTCCTGGGACCTGGGGTGTGGGTGCAACCTCCACGGGGCCAGTCCCTGGGCCAAGGAGCTGGACCCAGTGAGAAGGGCTCTGCAAGGGGCCTGGACACACGTGCAAGGTCACGCCCTTGCAGCAGGCTGCCCCAGGAAGGAGCTTTTACAGCAGAGAATTCTGACAAGTATTCTGCTGTTGTTCTTACTGCTGTTGCTAAAATCCCGAAGCACCCTTCAGTCTTAGTGTCACACATTAGATTGCAGCTGTACGGGTGTTTGAACTCCGAACGCCCTTGCTGGACAAAATGGCTTGGGGCTGTTAGCTGTGAAAACCTCACGTGTTCAGAGCTCTATTGTTGAGCCTAGAAATGAAGCTTTTAAGAATATTTGTAACAACTTCAGTTTGAGAGGGGTTCTTTTTTTTTTTGCACTTTTTCAAGCCAAGCTCTTATTATTGCACCCTTACAAGCTCAGGCTGGCTTTGAACTCGTGGCCATCTTACTGCCTCAGTCTCTGAACTTGGGCCAGCCTGGGCTACATAGTGAGTTCAAGGCCAGCTTGAACTGCATAGCGAGACCGTCTCAACTACAAAAAAAGAAAAAAATGCATAAATCTTAAAAATAAGATTTAGCCAGCTGTCGCGGTGCATCCCTGTCATCCCAACTACGTGGGAGCCAAAAGCAGGAGGATAATGAGTTTGAGGCTAGTGTGAGGAGCTTATTAAGACCATGTCTCAAAATAAAAAGGGCTGAGAATGCAGCTCAGTGGTAGAACACTTGCCTGGTATGGCTGAGGCCCTGGGTTCCATCCCTGCTATCCACAAAAACAACAAAACCACATAAAAACAAAAGATTTCACTAACTGTGGTCATAATCAGTTCAGGTATTCTAATCAGATATACGAGTGGAAGTGGCTAAATTGCAAGCCCGTCTCGGAGAGTGAGGCCCTGTGTTTCCTCGGCCCTTGCGCTCCGTGTGGACACAGCCCCTGTCCGGGATGGTTTGCCCCCCACCCACACAGCTGTGTCTGCTATAGGAAAGGTGACTGGCGGAAGAACCACCTCCAGTGCCTGTGGCCGCATGCCCCGCCGCGTCTTCCAGCAGGCTCTCTTTTGTGTAGAGTGCTGCTAGAGAGGGCGGGGCCACTGCCACTGGTGCATCTCTGTGGCAGTCGGAACTGTTGACTTCACGAGTCCCCTGCGCACCTAGCACAACACAGCGGTGACTGGCCTGCATGGAGCAGAGGGCTGCCCGGTGCTGGCCACGCAGCATCTGTGCAGGTGCCGTGCCTCCACGGCCTGGGGCATGGAGACAGTGTCGTGTGCTGCTGCCTGCTCAGGTTGGGTCTGTCATAAATCCCAGAGGCAGGGAAACACATCACGCTTGGCTCCAAGCTCTCTGTCTCTGAGTCCTCATGGAGTTGCAGTAACTTTGTGGTTTGCTTTTTCTCTGCAAGTTTTTGAGTCTCACCGAGGAAGATCTGAATAAGTTTGAGTCTCTCACCATGGGAGCAAAGAAGAAACTGAAGACTCAGCTGGAGCTGGAGAAGTAAGTGTGCCCCTGGGCTGAGCCTGGTGGAGCACAGGAGACCCGAGGCTCTGGGTTGCTTCCTAGCCATGCCCCTTCCCGCGGCTCAGCCCCTGTGTGGGAAGGTTGGCTAGGAAAGGCCCTTGAGGTGAGCCCAGCTCACACGTGGGGAGGAAGTGCTGCCCGGCCCCGTGCTGTCTCCTCACGCAGGGAGAAGTCAGAGCGACGGTGCCTGAACTCCACGGCCCCGTCCTTGGTCACCAGCAGTGGAGTGGCCCGTGTCCCCCCGACCAGCCATGTGGGGCCTGTGCAGGCCGGACGCAGCAGCCATGCGGCAGGTGCGTGGGGCCCCGTCAGGTGGTCAGGTGCGCAGTCCCGCAGAGGTGTGGTTCAGCTCTCTCTGGAGGAGAGCTGGGCCCCCCGCTGGTCGCTGCTGTTTGCATTTCCTAACCTTCGTGCTTGTTTTTCTTTATTCTGACTTGTGCAGTTGCTAGCATAGGAAGGGGGTGGGACAGGCGGGACAGGAGGACCCTGGAGACTTACTGGGACTTGTGTGGGGAAGGCATTAGATGCAGAGCTACCCCGATGGGTTTGAGTGGCCAGCAGTGACGGGTGAGGACCGTGGCCCCTGTCCCTGGAGTTGGGAGGCCTCGGCCCCGGCCCTGCTCTGTGCTGATGGCCAGCACAGCTTGCTCTCAGCCTCCTGACTCAGTTTCTCAGCTGCCGTCCTCTTGGGAGTGGTTGGGACACCTGTGATAGTCACTCTGGTCTCACTGGATGGAGTAGAGATAGCCAGAGCGGTGCAGTGTAAATCAGGAGGAAACCAACGCCCATCTGTTGTAAGTGGTTATTTAGTTAAAAGGATCTCGTGTCACCGGCCTGGATGACTGCGTGTGATAGCGAGGACTTCAGTGACGGCAGTGCAGCGTGGTCCTGGGAATCTGCATGCTGCTGTGGTGCAGGAGGCCCCTGCAGTGAGAGGTGGAAGCCCTGTTTGGCTCAGCGGTACAGCTCCCCATGTGGCCTGAGGCTGTGGGCCCTGTGCTACAGCGGTGGGAGCCGGACTTGGGCTGGGGACGGTGCTGCAGGAAGCTTTCGTGCCTTCTCCACAGAGCTGCGGGTGGAGGTGGAGCAGCCCCCTCACCAGGTGCCCCGGGAAGGCAGCAGCTCTTCCGAGTACTCCAGCTCCTCCTCCAGCCCCATGGGTGTGCAGGCGCGTGAGGAGAGCTCAGACAGCGCCGAGGAGAGCGACAGACGTAAGCCCCGCTCTGCTCCCCTGCTGCCCCCAGCCTGGGCGGGCGAGGTGCTGACGACTCTCGTCTGTCCCCAGGTGTGGACGTGCACTTGGAGGGTCCCGACAAGGAGAAGCCCGTGATGCTGCTGAGCCACTTCCCCTCGAGCTCCGTCAGACCCACCGCCCAGGTCCTGCCTGTGCAGAACGAGGCCGGCTCCAGCCCCGCCGGCCACCACCCCTTGGCCCCGCAGCTGCTGCCTGCCGCTGCGCACCTGGCCCCTATGCGGATGCTGAGCTCCATGCACAAAGCGGAGCGCGGGGGCTCGGACGTGAAGCTCCTCTCGTCGTCCATGCACTCGCTTCTGTCTCTGGAGGAGCGGGGCAAAGGGCCCGGGGCCAGGAGCGGCGTGAAGGTGGACAAGGGCTTCAGCAGTGCCGTGCTGGACACGCTGCCCGCGTCAGCACCGCACCCGCCCGTGCAGGTGATCTCGGGACTCTCGGAGAGCAGCGCCGTGACTCCTTCGGTCTCCTTTGGTCCCCGGGCCAAGGTTGTGCACGCGGCCACGCTGGACAGGGTGCTGAAGACAGCACAGCAGCCGGCGCTGGCGGTGGAGACCAGCACAGCGGCCGCAGGGACGCCAAGCACCGTGCTGCATGTGGCCCGGCCTCCCATCAAGCTGCTGCTGTCGTCCTCTGTGCCCGCTGACGCTGCCGTCTCCGGGCAGACGTCCTGCCCCAACAGCGTGCAGATCAGCGTGGCCCCCGCAATAATCAACCCCCGGACCGCTCTGTACACAGCCAACACCAAAGTTGCCTTCTCCGCCGTGAGCAGCGTGCCCGTGGGGCCCCTGCAGGGCAGCTTCTGCGCCAACAGCAACACTGCCTCTTCCAGCAGCCACCCCGCGCCCTCCTTCGCCAGCATGGCCACACCGCCCAGCTACCCGGCCCCCAGCTCCAGCCCTGCGCTCTCCTCCGTCCCGGAAAGCAGCTTCTACAGCGGTGGAGGCGGCTCCCCTGGGAACCTCCCTGCCCAGAGCCAGGGCCACCATCACCACCACCACCATCAGCAGCCCGCGGCGCCCCCGCAGCCCGCTCCGCCGCCGCCTGGCTGCATCGTGTGCACCTCGTGCGGCTGCAGCGGCAGCTGCGGCTCCGGCGGCCTGACTGTGAGCTACACCAACTACTTCCAGCACCCGTTCTCGGGGCCGTCCGTGTTCACCTTCCCCTTCCTGCCCTTCAGCCCGGTGTGCAGCAACGGCTACGTGAGCGCGCAGCAGTACGGCGGCGGCTCCGCCTTCCCCGTCGTGCACGCCCCGTACAGCGGCAGCGTCACCCCCGAGCCGGTCCTGGGCGGCCAGTCCTCCTTCGCGGTGCCGCCCATGCAGAACTTCATGGCTGGGACGGCGGGCGTGTACCAGACCCAGGGGCTGGTGGGCAGCAGCAACGGTTCTAGTCACAAAAAGAGCGGAAACCTGTCCTGTTACAACTGCGGGGCCACTGGGCACCGCGCTCAGGACTGCAAGCAGCCGTCCATGGACTTCAACCGGCAAGGTAAACGCTCGGCGCAGCCGCCCGCGAGGCTGGGGCGTGTGGCCGCCGTGGTCCCCGCGCTTTTTCAAGCTCTCTGAAACACATGGAAGTCTCGGTAACAGGGGGAGCCCCAGAAGGGTCCCTGCGGGTTCCAGGCCGGATCGCGGGCCTCTGTTACTCCGGGAGCTGGCTGGCCCTCTGGGCAGGGGCCTCGGCTCTGGGCTCTGGGCCTCCCCAGGCAGGAGTCGATGCTGCCCCCTGGTGGAGGCTCGAGAGCCTGGCGGAGCGCGGGGGCCGCCCCCACCTCGTGGGTGTGGCTGTGTGGGGGTCAGGTCCTGTCTCCTGGCTGGTCGTCCCACCTTCCTGCCCCCCCTTAGTCACAGTCACACATGTCCGCCAGTCTTGCACCAGGTTTGTTCTTGCCGTTTTGGGGAGACCACGTGGGGTTGGCAGGGGCTGGGCCAGCTCTGGCCGGGCTGTGTAGTCTTAGAAGTTGTCCTGTCTGTGGACTTCAGCGCCTGCCTTGAGCTTGCATACAGAGCTGCCTGTCCACCTTCAGTGCCCAGGGAGCCTTTAGAAGCAGCACCCGCGACTCTGGTCTGGTGTGGGCGGGTGGCTGAAGGCTCTGCGTGGCCTCCTGGGTCTGCCTCCTCCCCAAAGCTGGTGCGTCTCCCAAGGCCCTGTCCCGACACAGCCTTGGGCGGCCTGCGCAGTCCTGGTCCTGAGGAGGAAGCTACGCGTGAGGAGGGGGCTGGCGGTGTTCCCTCCAGTCACAGCCACTTTTCCCGGGGTGGGTCTTAAGACATGCGGTGGTGTACGCGGTCTCCAGCCTCAGCCGGCAAGGGCAGGTCGCTGGTCTGTCGATGTGCAGTGACTCACTTGCCCTCTTTCCCCCTCCAGGTACTTTTAGGTTGAAATATGCCCCTCCGGCCGAAAGTCTGGACTCCACAGACTGACGTTTTTCTCTGGCAGCAGCAATTACTAAGCCATGGAGACATAAGGAAAATTAAACACAAAACTGAGACGTCTAGTTGCTGTTGAGCTTAATATTTTTAATCCAAAGGTGCTTTACTTTGTTAGACTGGATAGAAAATCTAGCGTAGACATGCATCAAACTCAATTTTATTGCCAAAATCCTATAGATTGGAGCTTGAAGTCAGGATTGCCGATGGGCCTCCCGCGGTTGGTGACGTGGTCGCCTGCACTTTGGCGGCGGTGCAGTCTGTCTCCCGAAGAGCGTCGCGTCGCTGATCCTCCAGGCTCACACACAATTCCAGGGCAGCTATGCGCGGTCTGGTCGGGACTGAAGGTTGCAGTTCAACCCGAGGAGCCCGGCTCGGCCTCTGGACACCCCTGGGCTAGGGAGAGCATCAGCTTCGTTCTGTCTTGTTTCCTTTTGTTGTCCCTAAAGTGACCAGGCACTAACCGCTGGGGTTTTTAAGGCTTGCACTACGAAAGAATGTAACCTGATGTAGATCTCTAGTCTGAAGACAGACTCCTCCGATCCAGTCAGCGCAGCAGACCCGACTCACATGGAGTCGGCACCAGCAGGCGACAGCTTCGCAGAAGAGGTTTCCGTCTGTCCCTTCCTCCTTCACACACTTGCAGCAGTTCCAGGTTTTTAAGTTTTTTCCTGCAGATAAACTTAGACTACATTAATAAGTAGAAATAGTTCATTCTCAGCGACTTCATTTCTAAGGGTCCAAGTCCCAGGGAACCCAGTCCCCGAGGCCCGGGGCCGTCCTTGCCGGCAGTGGCTTCGAGCGTGCTCTCTGCACCACAATCGGCTCCTGCAGGCTGCGGACGGCTCAGTGTTGCCAGTCGGCTGTGGCCAGTGCTCCTGGCCCTTGGGGAAGCTGGCAGGTGTCCCTTCTGCGGGCTCCCTGGGATCCCAGCTGAAGGGCTGACACTGTCGGAGTCACACGCAGATGGCCACTTCAACTGGAATACAGTCCTGAAACGAAGCGAAAGATCTGGAACTTTGTCCTGTTGGCTTTTCCGAACTAGGCTGTGTTCTGTCGCCAATTCCGTTAACAGCTGCCTGGAGAACTTCAGTAGGGAGCGGTGAGACTCACACCACTCAGCAGACACAGCCCGGGACTGGGAAGTCTCGTTTCTAAGCAGGAAGTGGACGTCTGCGCGCTCTAGAGCGCTCCGTGTCAACTTGCAGGAAAGAGAGCATTTTGGCCTGAAACTGAGGGACTTCAGTCTTCAAGGTTAAAGGGAATTTTCTCCTCAAAAAGCAACATTTAAAATGTTAAAGCCTTCAATATTAAAATATTGATTGGTAGAGTCTTGCCAGGGGTTTTCCAGTTAAATATTTGTTAAAAAAAAAAATCACAGTATTTAGACCATTCTTAAAACGGGACAATCAGCCTCATGTAAAATTGTAAATCAGAAAAAAAAATCCTAGAATTTGAGGCATTGTGATATGAGGCTTCCAATTTTGAGATCAGTTTCCTGACTCTGTGGAAACTAAAGCAGAAAGTTGTTACATTTTTTATGAAAGGCTTTTAGTAGAGTTTTGTAGTATTATTTTAGTAGAATTTTATTTCTATGCAATGCAGAATTGACAGACCTCTGTATTCTCTATTCATGGTACACAGTATTATGTACGGTTTTGAAGTAGTGGTGCGTTTTACAGCTGTTGGGAGGATGTTACGTGGCGCTCTTAAACACTACGAGATGTCAGACGATGAGAACTGACACAACTTTGCCTTAAAGAGTCCCAGACTGGAGTTTGTCGCGTTGCGTTGAAGGAAGACTTGAGTGTCCCCTGATGTTTACGACTTTAATGTTTATGAGGGCCACTGCATGGCCTGGACGTGTGCTGAAAGCCAAACTTTTAAATTTTTTGGTTTTTTTTAAACAAAGAAATATTTTAAATAAATCCTATTTCAACACAGTGGAATTGTTGAAACTGTCTCATAGCAAAAGAAAAATAAGCATTTCAGTTTTTTGTTTTAGTGGTCAGTATAGGAGGATGAAAGTTGTCTGTTGTTACCCTTACAGCTATTTTGATAAATATTAGAGGTTTAGCCTGAAATACAACAATTTAAAACAGAAACTTCCATTTGAAGTGTGACACTCAGTTGAGGTCGACAGTTCTGACACTGTCATGGCCGTGTCCTGGTCGCCAGAGGCCCTCAGAAGACCTCCAGTTGGCTTGGAAGGTGGTGTGCGGTGACCTCTCCCGCGGGGCTGTCCTGTTAAGAACTGGGGGACGGGAGGAGATTCGCAGCAGGACAGACTCCGCCACTGCCACCTTGAGTCCGGCGCACGAAGTATTATCTCCGACGAATTTCTTTCCAAAACCAACCAAAGTCAGGACGCCTGAAGAGCATTTTGTCTGCCACCCCAGCCAGCCACAGCGCCCTGACCCTCGCGAGGCAGTGTCGAGGTCGGGTCGCAGTCCCAGCGTTGCCTGGCGGGTGGCTTGGCCCGCTGCACCTTCCTCTGTGGAGTCCGTCACACCTGTTTCTAACCCTGCGCGTGTCTCCAGGAAGGGGGACAGTGGAGTGTACAGTTCGAGTAGAACACAATGTTGGGATAAAACAACTATTTAACCTTTCTGTTTTTTTAAGCAAAATACTTCCATTTTCTACCTTATTTTCTAGTTCTTATTTCATGGTAATATCAAAAATTGGAAACATGTTTAACGTTAAAACTCCTAGTTGCTAAAGAGCACTGAGGAATGGGAGGTAGCACTTAACAATAAACACAGTATTTCCTTGGACGCACACATGTGGGTGTGGAGCCCACCAGCAGCATCTGTGTCTACAGGCCCGGAGTCGGCTTGTCAGTACGGCAGGCAGGAGGGTCTGTGTTGTACCTCACCGCTTAGGAGTCTAGGTCTTCAGTGCAAGTCCACCTGGGTCCCCCACTGCGGGCCCAGCAGGTGCACTGCAGGGGCAGCACCTTGGCCTGAGTGTCCCCCAGTGGGAGCCGGCTCACACCCTCCTCCATCCTCCTACCCCTTCCTGCTTCTGGGTGTCTTGTGCACGCCTTGCCAGTTCATGTCCTGGCGGCATCACCTGCTGAAGTCTTAAACTTGTAAAAACTGTCTCCTCGCTAAACCTCGTCCCCACGGACGGGGAACCGAGCAGAGCGGGCTGTGTCCTTCCCAGGAGCAGGTGACTCCCAAAGAACAAGTCAGGTGATACTGAGGGCCAGGGGCCTCACAAGGCGGGACTGTCGCACAGTCCCATGCGTCTCGCCACGCTCTTGCAGAGTTCCAGAAGCACGGGCTGCGCCGGCGGAGGCGGCCAGGCCCCGCACTGCCGGATGAACAGCATCCCTGCCCTGCCCGGCCTCCACCCGGCGTACCAAGACCGCAAACCTTCTCGGCTTTCTGTTGGACATACTTTCTCATTGGAATGAAGGAAAATTCTCCCATTTTTGAGCCATTCTTTTGTCAATTCTACAAAACTGCATGTAACTTTATAAATATTTTTAAAAGATATAGTTTTGTAAATATTTAATATTCTGCTAATTTGATTTTGAATTGTAAATGTCAAGTATTCTGTTTTTGGGGTTTTTATGTTTTATTATACTTTGTTAAAAAGGAAAAATTGTACATTTTTAGAATGTTTTTATGAGTAAATTTAATGTACTGAAAATAAAAATTTTAAAAAAGCCTGTGTCATCCTGGCCAGCCTCTCTGGTCTCGTGTGTGGGGCAGGCGGACACCTGCTCTAGGATACTTTTCTCCCCTCGGGTCCTGCTGTTTAAAGAAACTGTCTCACCAGGATGGAAGTTCTCTGCTTCAGGGGAAAAGTGTTTGGAGTGGTGGCCGGCGCTCTGGAGCCGGCCAGGCTGCCCGCCTTGCAGCCCTGCTCGGAGGGCAACGCGGGGGCAGCACCGACCCGGGACCTCTCTGAGGTCCGGCTCCTCTGGAGTAGCGCCAGGCACCCGTGAGGCTCCGTCCCCTCCCTGTGGCTGCACTGCTGCACCCATGTTCTTTTTGTCTTTTTGAAACGGTCTTGCTATGCAGTCCAGGCTGGCCTTGATCGCTTCGTAACCCAGGCTGGCCTTGAACTCCTGGCAGTCTTCCTGCTTCAGCCTCGAGTGCTGAGATTACTGGTATGTGCTGCCATGCCTGGCCCTCATGGCTGCCCCATGCTGTTTTTTAAGAAGCACTGGTATAGGCATCTTATTGATTACACAGTAGTTACACTGGCTGCCCCATGCCTGGTCTGAGTGCCACCGTGCCCCTCCACCGCTGGGTGGAGGCCAGCCACCGCCAGGGATACTCCTCTCTGCACCATTAGCACACGTTCTCTGCACCAGTCTGGCTGTCACTGGTGGCACATTCCCACAGCCCCCAGGTTTTGGCGTCTTCCCTGCTGCGGCCCTGGCCAAGGCTTGGTGCTGAGGAGGTGAGGCCCCGGGTGCTCCCCACCCCATGGCCACCACCCAGAGCAGCCCTCAGCGCCAGTGCACACAGGAGGCGATGCCCAGACAGTTCAGCTGCATCTTTTATTTGATTAGTGCATTAAAAGTACTGGTTTTAAATAGCCTATAAACAAACAACAGCCCTCTCAGCATGGTATTTGTTTTTTAAAAAGCACTGGTATAGGCATCTTATTGATTACACAGTAGTTACAAGGATCTTGATACAGTGGCATGTATAGTCTAAAGGAAACAGGCTGAGGACATGTATCATGTAAACACACAGGTTAAAGTCACTGTGGGGGACACGCATGCAGGAGGAGGGACCCTGGCATGGCCTCACTGCTTCTCTGCAAGGGCAAAGGAGGCCCTGGGTGTGGCCTGCTTTGGTGGCAGTGTGACTGTGACCTTTCTGTGGCACTGCCACACAGGCTCGTGTGAGCTGCAGGATGGGCCCTGTGCCCTGGGCACACAGTGGGACTGTCAGCGACGTGAGACCCTATCCCTAACACCGTAAGTGCCCACTCCTGGAAAAGCCCACCCCGCGCCACTTGGGCCACAGGCAAAGGGTGGGGCTCACACCGCAGCCTTAGGACAGCACTGGCTACTGCAGGGGCCATGGGAGGCCTCAGCCCAGAGAAGTCCAGGCAGAAAAAATGCCACGGCTGCCCACCGCTTTGAAGGAAACTAGACACAAACGACAGGACTCAACTCGCGGCACAGCGCGGCGAGGTTCGGGGCCTCGCCTCTCAGAGCAGCTGAGCTGAGCAGGACTCACACGGGAGGCCTGCTCGCTGCTCCTGCCCACCCCGTGCTGCACAAAAGCACCGCGCCAGCTCTGGGCGAGAGCTTTCCTGGGATGGAGGGAAACCCTTCCACAAAGGCTCGGCGCTGAGCTGGGAAGGGCCTTGGTGTCTCGAATGCCTGAAGTTAAGTTGCTGCTCCAACTGCAAGTTCCTACTAAGGGAAAGGCATTAAAATAACTGAAGGTCTGTTTTGCTGGCAATTTAGGATGCAAAGTATTTTATTTTTAAACTTCTAAACTTTGAAAACAAGGTAGCTGAGGTTAAATAATAGAGCTTTCCAAAGCTGAGTGTGCTCACTGGAAATCAGTTTATCTGCATGAAATACAAAAACAACTTCCTGAAACTCCTACGTGGGAACAAGACTGTGCTGACGACCTGGACCGGACGAGCTGAGCCATCTCAGCTGGTAACATCCCTTTTCTCCTTGGCAAGGGCTCAGAAACCTCCGCACACTGTCTAGTGGCACACGGACAGCCCTCTCCCGAAGGTCTCCTGGGAGGCGTACACCATGTACAGGAAGCCGTCCTCGTCCTTCTCGCTCTCGTACACCTCCGAGATGGGCGTGGACACGCTCACCATGCTGTGGCCGTTCACCAGCAGGAAGAAGGCCTGGTTGGCGTTGAGCTGCAGGCGTCGCCTATTGAGGGGAGCAATGCAGAGAGATCGCACAAACCGGCACGCGCGTTTGGAGGTGTGTGCGACCGCCCCACCCCATGGCTAACGCGAGGGTGGATCGAGACTTGTAAGTGCTGCTTCTGGCAAAACGCAGCGAGGCGTCTCAGCCTGCTCCTAAAGCACCATTCCTGATTATATTCCTTGTCACGACTGGCTATAGCTGCGGACAGGCTGCTTGGCCTAAGCCGGCCCACTGACTGCTGCTGCAGTCTACCTTCGCTCTTACCAATGTTAGTTCCATTCTAAAGGACATCTATGCTAGGTGTTGCCTGAAAGAATAGGGAGAGACCTGAGGCCCAGCACGGGAGAAGCGAAAACCGCAATCCTCACCAGGCTGGGCCACCCACTAGCAAGACCAAAGACGCTGCACAGGAGAGCTGCTTGGGGAGATGGGACAGAGGACGGGGCTGAATACCTGATGATCTTGATGAGCTCACTCATGTTGACGTGGTCAGGGACGAGGAACTTGGTTTTATCCAAGACAGGCAGCTGCTTCTCACCCTTGTAACGTTCTATGATCACCTAGGGAAGCCAGAGTGACTTAGAAACAGGCATAGACAGCAAAAGAGCAGCCGGGCGTGGTGGGGCATGCCTGTCATCCCAGCACTCTCAGAGGCCGAGGCAAGAGGATCAGAGTTCAAGCCCAGCCTGAGCAACTTAGTGACTCAGCGACAGCCTGTCTCAAAACATAAAAAAGCTGGGGACATAGCTCAGTGTGAAGGCCCTCGGTTCAATCTCCAAAGTTTCAAAAAGAAACGAGACAGCCAGTGTGCTTCCCACGCTGCGGCTGACACCTGCCACGGCGGGGCTACACATGGCAGTCCCTGCTCTTCCAGCAGCACTCCTGCAGCGAGCGAGGGTCGTCTAGCGTGGTAGGCCTGTTTCTGACACGGTGGAGCAGGGGGGGAAACACTCGGCTATGTATTCTTCCATTCTGTTTGAATTTGGTACCATGACAAACAAGCCTCAAGGGACAGAGGGTGTGGACTTCAGCGTGGAGAGCTGCAGCAGTCCTGTATCTCCTCCGGCCACCATCCCGCATGTCTTTTTCTTTCTTAGGGTAACAGGCTCAGTGTTGTTCCACACTGGACTTTCTCTACTTGGCATGAGAAAAATCCGAAGTCATCTCTCCCAAGTCCAGAAGACACCATGATTGGCTGGCTCTGAAGACAAAGCTGATGCAGAGTGACTGGAGGGCCCTTGGCTTTCTGAGGTCCCCAGGGTTGAACCCAGGGCCTGCTCACTGAGCCGCACCCCCAGCTTCTCTCTGTGTGCTCCAGTCTCCACCAGCACGGGTGACTGCCATGTGCCCTAAATCATGCACATCTGTAACAGCCACCTGGCTGGGCCTCTCCCCATCTGACAGACGAGGACACCAGGACCAGTGGAACTTCAGTAACTACTCCAAGATCACTCAGCAGCTCTGAACTGGGGACTGGGAGGCAGCCTGGCTAAAGACAAGGACAGCTCCTGTGCATGCTGCTGTAAGAGCCTGTGCGAGTCTGCCGCCTGCGCCCCGGGCACAGGAGTGGGCGGCTGCACATCAGGGAGACACTCAAGGGAGCAGCTGTATCTTAAGCCAGGAATGTGGTGCATGCCTGTAACACCAGCCCTCCAGGAGGCTGAGGCAGGAGGATCACAAGCTTGAGCCAAGCCTGAGAATCTCAGCAAGACCCTGCCTCAAAACAAAACAATACAAAAAAACCCCGAGAAGCACTGGGGATATAGCTCATTGGAATAGGAACAGGCCGGGTTTAATCCCCAGCACCACAAAAAAAAAAAAAGAAAGGAAAGGAAAGGAAAAGAAAAATGAAAAACAAAAAAAAAAAGGAAGGCAGGCTGTTTTGTGGCCAGGGTTAAACTCCAGAGCTGCAGAAGCCCACAGCAGCCACTGCTGCTTCATCCCTTTGAAAGATGACAGCTTCTTTCCGTGACACACAGTGCGGAGGGTGGAGCGCAGGGCAGAGCGCAAGGTGGAGCGGAGCCAGCACAGGCCTGGGTTCCAGCCCCAGCGCCGAAAACAGACCAATCCAGAGAAAGGCAGACCCAGCCCCACAGCCCTTTCTGCTCTCAGGAGAAGCAGCACCTGGGTGAGACTGTGAGTGCTTAACTCTAGGCTGTGAGGCTGACACACAGGGTCCGAATGTCACTGGATCCAGAACCCTGGAGAAGCCCATCTCGGGAAGTGGTAAGGTGCCGCTCTCCCCAGGCCGCTTAGCAGATGGCGCCTGCGGGACCTACCGGGATCTTGGTGGGATGCTGCTCTCGGATGAGCCGGACGTCTTCTACTCTTTGTTCTGCAACAGAGAAGAGACACACGTCAGGGGCCCACAGCCTCTTCCCGAGTTTCCGCGGCAGCTGTCCCCTGGGCATGCCTCGCTGTGGCAGGGCCACTCTCCTAGAAGGCAGGGATGTAGACACCAATGCCTCACAGCTTACAGGTTCATAGCTAAGGCCAGAGGCAGTGCACAATAAACGCACAGTTCTGCTGCACAGGAAGGTGGGGGCCCAGGGCCGAGGCTGGGCTCAGGCCTGGGACAGACATGCTCTCCCCTCCAAGGGCCCCTGCCACCCAGGATGTCCACGTGCGCTCGCTTCCTGCAGTTCCCTCTGACATGGGTCACTCAGGACATGGGGCATTCAGTGCAGTGTCCTCTTGTCACTTCAACTTCCAAGCTGCTATGCTGACAGGGAAGGAGCTGCTCAGGAGAGCTCAGAAGAACACCGCACTTCCAAGCTTTAAACACTGCTCAGGGTCCAGGGATATAGCTCAGTAGCATAAGTGCCTGCCTGGCAAGTGCAAGGTCCTGAGTTCGAGTGCTGCTACTAAAAGAAAAAGACACACTGCTCGGTGCCTCAGAGAAACCAAAGCTTAAGTCACGAAGTCTACTGTTGAAAGCTTTTCTGAGAATCTATTTTCCTTTTTAATATAATCACTTGTTTTCAACAATTTTAGTAGGCTTTTTACACTACACAGGAAAAAGATAAGCCAAGTCCAGTTCTCAGTAGCCTGATCATACAATCGGACACGCACACACTTCATCACAGAACAGTGTGAGTATGTGATTGATGCAGCACCAGGAAAAACCTTGCGGCAGCAGGGTGTGATGTGCAGATCTGTAATCCTAGGACTAGGGAGGCTGAGGCAGGAGGATCTTTGGGAGTTTGAGGACAGCCTGGGCTACAAAGTGAGCTCAAGGCCAGCCAGAACTGCATAGTGAGACCGTGTCTCAAAATGACCATAAATAAATAAATAAAATAAACCTTACAGCAAGAAAATTAACAAAAATCACCTGTTTTAGATGTGTTCAATGTCAAATTTTCCTTTTTTCTCCAGAAAAAAGATGCCATGACTGATATAAATTTACTGTAATTGCTAGTTTCATCTGATTAAAGTTTTCATTTTTTACAGACCATTGAAATAATCTCTACGTTCAAGTACAGCCACAGAAATTCTATTTCTATCTTCTCACATAACATTTTATTTCATGTCACGTCGCCCCCCCCTTTTGAGACAAGGTCATGCTGTGTATCCTAGGCTGGCCTCAAACTCACAGGTTCTTCCTGCCTCGGCCTCCAAGAGTGCTGGGATTACAGGTATGGTTATCCAGCTAATCCCAGTTTCTCTTTAGTTGCAAATTAAAGTCATTCCTCCACTACATTCACTATTGCCAGCTGCTCTTTTTTTCTTGGCTTTCATTTATTAGTACAAGCTGGGCGTGGTGGCGCACGCCTGTAATCCCAGCACTTGGGAGGCTGAGGCAGAAGGATCGTTGTGAGTTCATGGCCAGCCTGGGCTACAAAGTGAGTTTGAGGCCAGCCTGAACTGCATAGTGAGACTCTGTCTCAAAAAGACAAAAAAAGGGGCAGGGGATTTAGCTCAGTGGCACAGTGCCTGACTGGCAAGTGCGAGCTCGTGAGGTTGTAAGTTCGATTTCTGGTACCAGAAAAAAAAAAAAAATTTATTAGTACACATCTGCAGTATGCAATGATCACATTCCTTGTCCCACCTGACATTTTACAGTTAACACAGTGGTGGGAACCTATGGCACAGGTGTTGCTGTATTCTTCTTTTAAGACAAAAGGTGTTAACATAGAGGTTTTTTTTTTTTTTTTTTTTTTTATGGTTTTCTGAGACAAGGTCTCACTATGTAGTCCAGACTGGCCTCGAACTCACAGTGATGCCTCAGCCTGAGTACTGGGATCACAGGCACGCGCCACCATGCCTGGTTAAGAGTTTTTTTTTTTTCTAAACTAAAAGCTCAGTGTTCAGGTTTAATCACACAGTTGATACTTTGCAATAAGTAAGTGGGTCTTTGCAATAAGTAACTCAGTCTCTAAAAGGCTCACCACCGCTGCTTTAAAATAAGTAACTAAGCTGGGCATGGTGGGGCACGCCTGTAATCCCAGCACTCGGGAGACGACGGCAGGAGGGTCATTATGAGTTCGAGACCAGCCTGGGCTACAAAGTGAGCTCAAGGCCAGCCTGAACTGCATAGCGAGACCGTCTCGAAAAGACAAAAATAAATACATAAAAATAAATAAATGAATAAATAAACACAAACATAGGTGCTATAAGCAAAGAGGGGCTTAGAACGCATGCATCTCTCTACAAGTGCACACAGGAAGTCCCTGACTTACACACTTGTTTGCAAGTCCCACAAAGTGGGTCTTGTACACCTTTGATACAAATATACCTTGTAAAGTAAAAATCCAAAAGCGAAAATACAGTAAGTCACCAACTGTACTACAGTACACCATCACACTGTACAGTACACACACAGCAGCACGACTGGGACAATATCTGGCAGACACCTGAGCTCCTCCCCTGATTTGTTCACCATCTACAAATGTTTGTAATGTGAGGTCCACTTGTATCTGTCAAAGTTCACAACTCCAACGTTGTAAGTTAGGGACTTACTGTATTCCTATTGAAAAATGTGAGGATGTAGATAAATCTAGGTACTGTTAACAGTAAACTGGCTGGGCGTGGTGGTGTACACCTGTAATCCCAGCATTTGCTTGTAATCCTAGCACTAGGGAGGCTGAGGCAGGCGGACCACCAAGGCCAGCTTGGACTACATAAGGAGACCCTGCCCTCAAAAACAGAAAAACAAAATACAGTAAACTGGACCCAGCAGCTTTCATCCTTGGATCCCTCTCCACTTCCTGGGGGCCCCCTGCCCCATTCTCACGCCCGAGCGCTCCCAGCCAAAACCATGCTGCGCCATGGAGACTGGCTTCTGTCTCTTTCCCAAGGAAGCCTCCGCTTGTCAGTGTCACCACTTCGGGGTGGAGGAGAAAACCGCCCTTTCATTAATTTACTGTAACAAATAAATAACACTTTGCATTTCCTTGACTGTGCTTCACATTTAAAAGCTTATCCTAGGTGACTGGGTGGTCCACAGCTGTAATCCCAGCACTTTGGTGCTGAGGTAGTAGGACTGCCCAGGGCTGCAGAGGGAGATTCCATTGTAAAAATACAAAACAACAGTGCTGGGTGTGGTGGCGCACACCTGTAATCCCAGCACTTGGAAGGATGAGGGAGGAGGATCAATGCGACTTCCAGACCAGCCAGTAGAGCTCAAGGCCAGCCTAAACTGCATATCGACCCTGTCTCCAAAGTGACAAAAAACCCCACAAACAAACAAAAAATACAAAACAAACAGCTTATCCTAGTAAGTCTGAAAGTAGCAACCAGAAGGGAAGAGATTTTCTATACCACAAAACGGATTTACGGGGTTAACAGAAGAACGAAAGCAGACTGTGAATGGGAGGCCTCCCAGCCAGAAGCCAGTGCCACCTTCATCCTGACTCATCCCCAAAACAAGGCCCCGAAAGGAAAGACGAGGCGCTTCCGGGGCCCCTGCAGCTGCCCCTCTGCTTTCCCTGCGAGCGGCAGCAGCCCTGGCGGGCCCGCGGGGCTCCCTGCCTTCCTTCCCGGTGCTGTAATGGCGGGTCTGCAGGCTGCCTACAGGGCCATCAGGGACCCAGCCCTGGCCCCGCGGAGGAGACGCTGAACAGCCGAATGGAAGCTGAAGGAACTGGGTCCTGGCTCCTTTCCTCCGGCCTCTAAAACTGCAGACCGCTAAGCGTGCTAGCTAGCGCACACGGTGAGCCTGGCACTCCGGAGGCTGAGGCAGGAGGATCACGCGTTTGGGGCCAGCCTGGCCTGCATGACGAGACCCGCTCCCTTGGAAGCCTCCGGGCGGACGGACAGGCAGCGGAGTTTCAGGCGTGCCTGCTTTGCCAGCCGCCGTCCGCACCTCCCGGGGTCCGTCTCCCGAGCGGCCCGGGGGCGCTCCCGAGCCCGGCGCTACCTCCAGGGTCACCGGCCGCCGCCGAGCG